AATGCGATTACCAGAGCATCCATGCCCAAACCATAATTCCGTTCATCTTTTAATGAGTGCGATTACCAGAGCATCCATGCCCAAACCATAATTCCGTTCATCTTTTAATGAGTGCGATTACCAGAGCATCCATGCCCAAACCATAATTCCGTTCATCTTTTAATGAGTGCGATGCAATCTATGCGGACGGCAATTGCAACTGGAAGCATGCGGCTGCAGAGCTAGGCTTGGAGCACCACGCGGTCGCGCACCAGCTGAAGCAGTTCACCAAAAGAGTTGAGCCGGGAGCTGTCATGCTCTCCCGCGTCGCCGGAACGCAGATTTTAGACCGCACATTGCGTGATCTCAAAATGTTTCTGCCAAAGCGGCTGGTGGCGAAGTTGAAGGTCAATGGCCACTCCCAGCTTCACTCAAATGTACAGCTTCTGGTTAGTCAATGGATGTGGAGAAAATCCATAGGCTCCACAACTCCCCAGGAGTTTTTGGACGCACTTGAGAGCCTGCTCTAGACAAAAGCAGTTTTTTTTCCGCGCGTTGTTCGTATGGGATTCTTACAGCACAAAACTGGTTGTTGACGTTAGTTTCGGGGGCCCCGAGAACGTAACTTTAACCTGTAATTTACAATACGAAAGCCCTTCTCTGCATGGAAAACCGCACATTCTCTAGCAAAGCCACGAGGTGCTGTAAATTTCCACACGAATGGCTGGTCCGGCCAACTTGTGTTCTTGCGCAAGGCCTTGAAACCCACGGCAGAATACGCGCCGTGTACCTAGTTTCCGTTTTCTCTTCCCTTCCCCTATATACCCCACACTAAGCCACCCCCTAATGCGTAAAATCCCACACCTTAAACCCTAAACCCTAAAATGTTTAGTGTTAGAGAAAGAGGAGCATTCGGCTCCTTAAACCCCAAACCCTGGATGGTTCCTTTCTTGCCGCCCTGGTCTGGTGGGAGCAGAAGCGCTGCTGGTCCTGCCCCCGGCAGCCCGGGCAAGATGTCATCAAAATATATCAAAACTTGGGAACTTCTGAAAAGGGTGGCCCAGAATTGGGGATGGTGAGGGTTTAGAGGGATGATGGGGAGATCAGGGTGCGGATTAGAGGGGATCATGTTGAGAAACTCCCTGGTCATCAAAATGCTCGACGGGCCGGGCACTGACCATGCGGTGAGGAGCCAGCATCCTCTACTATCTCCTGGTGCATCCCAGTGTTGTCGCGTGAAGGCGCTTGTTGCACGAGGAGGATGCATTTGTCCTCGAGTATTGCCATGAGGTGGCCCACCAGGCCCAGAGCTTGATAACGCCGTCACGCGAACTGGTGCACGATTCCGTATTAGTTAGGCCTCCGAAGAGGGCAAAATGGATTTAGGGTCTTAGGGTGGCAAAATTTTACGGATTTCTCTGTGTGGGTATGGGGGTTGAGGTTAAAGGTGCTACGGTTTTAGCTCCCCTCTCTGTCCTTCGAAACGAAAGCTCATTGGTTTAGGGCTTCGGGTACAAGGTTTAGGGTTAGGAATTGCAACCTTAAACCCTCAACCCTAAACCTTGGAGATACCGTGGCAGTGAGATCCACACCTTGACACGGCCAGTAGACTGTGGGTATATGGAGGTTATATTGGGGGTATATTGGGATAATGGAAAAGAAAATGGAAATCCTAGGTCCCTTTAAAGGGATGTATAGGGGGGTTGTATTGGGGGTATGTTGGCATAATGGAAAAGAAAATGGAAACTACTGTTTAAGGTATGGGGTGTAGGGTTTAGAGTTTTAGGGTTTGGGGCCAATATTTTTTGCAGTACGTCCTACATTTGCATGCTGCATGCTACATACCATGAAATCGGGTTTCGTGCAGTCCAGATGAATCCTAGACCCTGTTGATTATAGCTTCAAAGCATTACTTACTGCCAAGCGACATGAGCTGTAGTCTAAACTCCTTAAAGGGGGGATATATAGGGGATTCTATAGGGTACTGATATTAGGGTTATTAAGGGGGATACTAGGAGTTTAGACAATGGCTCACATGAAACCCAAAGAAAGGCCCTATCAATAGACCATTGTCCTGTCAAGGGGGGGCTATCAACCCGAAACCCTAAACCACACATCCGCACATATCCCATGATTCACCATCTATCCCACCGTACTGCTCCATGTATCCGCAGGTATCCCCATATCCCTACATCCCGGTTAAAGGACCTCGAACCCGTCCATGACAGCTTGAGGAGGGTACAAATGATTTCTGCCAAGTGTTCAAATGCTTGCTGTCCTAATGTTCATGGGGAGCCCATGCACCCCTCCAAAATGCGCCCCCCCAAACAGATTAGGAGGAGAGCTTCTTCTTGGCAGATGTATGTTTGAACCAGCATGTTGACGTGCAAAGAGCCATATGGCTCAGTGGGAACAGGGTAGTCAGCATGGACCTTTCGAACAAATTCTCCGGCACTTGTAATTCGACTGCACATAAAAAAGTTCAGGGTGCAAGCTTCATCTTTTTTCCCGACGCGCTGCTGCCTCAGGTGAGCTGGACTTGGATGGAGTTCAACTGAAGGTGTACCGGAGTGTTTCTGACGACGTTCAATGTCAATGGTCTCTGCCAGCGTTCTACACAGCCTTCAGAAGCCTCGAGAGTGGCACAGCAGAAGCAGAGGGAAGTCGAACTCCTCAACAACTTACAAAACAAGCGCGCCCTTTGACAAACATTTGCATGTTGCAAGCAGCAGTGTTTGATTTTGCTTGTTTTTTGCTTGCTTGGCAATGTGTAGTTATGGGGCTGAGGTAATTGGAGAGACAAGAACGAGAGTTCGTGGCTTGATTTTCATCTGCTGCTTTGGCCTGGTTCTGGCCAACCCTTGAAGCTTGTACCGGCAAGGACGAACACTAAAAGAATGAAAGATGATGAGAACTCTGTCAGAAGCCCTTTTCTTGAAACCACCATGAGTACCAGCCAGATCATGTCTGCGCTTGCGGCGCAGATGGCCTCACCAAAAAGGACCATCACTTACTTGCAAGCCACTGCCAGGCTTTTCTACAAGATTCTGGCGCGAGTCTTTTCAACTGGAGAGGTAGCGCTTGTGTTGCAGGCTCCAGGCACAAATGTGCCATTGAGGGTCGTTGTCCCTTCAACTGCCCGAATTCCTAGCTATTTCCTCCTGCCTCTGCGTGATGATGAATTTTTCGAGCACTTTCGCGAGCAATGGAACAACTTTGCAACTGTTCCTTGTCTGACCTATGCTTGCCATGGCACTTCGCCAGGGACTTGCGTTGACCCCAGACATTTTACCTCTCGTTGCCTTGAGGACATGGAGCGGGATTGGATTGATGGGTGGAATAGCATGGTTCACCTGCCAAGCTTCATACTCATGGTGCTGGATCCGTGTCTCGGATGGAACTGCAAGATTGCGCAGCAAACGTGCTAGTGCTGAATCCAAGCTACTTTTACAAGTCATCCTAGGAAGGCGGATGTCCGGAAGCTATTGCCCTTGGTGCGCAGTTTGCTGACCCAAGTGGCGGCATTCTTGGACAGGCCCTGAGAGTGGATGCATCAAAGAGGGTGGCGTGTATTTGCGTCTTAAGCAAACATGCTCCCAAGGATCGGAATGTTCTCGCTGTTGCGGCGTCGTTGGAGGATACCAGGCGCAGAACACATACGAACCTGGACCTCTACAACGTGATGCTTGATGTGTGGTCCGGGAAGGACTGCTGGGCCTGCAAGTTCTTGCCCGTGTGCCGCCGTCGAAGTTTCCAGGAATTCTTCTTGAAGAATGCGCTGGAAAACCGAATCAACATGACAAAGCGGAAGACAAAGTCTGTGACTGCATACACAACCTATCGCTCCATGGCACCTAGTCTCCATTATTTTCTTGGTTTGTGTCTGGCAGAGTTGAGCTATCTAATCATTATCTTGTTGGCAGCAGGTGGCGTACCTTGCAGCGAGCAGACGAGAACTTGGGCCCGAGTTGCACCTCAACGCCAGCTCCTCATACTCGCGCGCACGGGTATTAGTAATTATGGCTGAGCAGTGTGTTAGCTGCTAGCCAGGTACTTTTCGACGGCTCATCGATAGCAAAGGCGCCTGTGGAAGGGTATTATTTCCATTGCCAGAGCCCCATCGAATTGTGGTGTTCGGTGTGCTGTGTTGCAGAGTCGTTTGCGTCAGTGCTTAGGTCCCACCATCAACCTGGGCGCTTTTGGCCCACCAGTGGCTTAGTCCTTAGTGCTTGCAGCCAGATGTGTGCCAGTTATGTGATGTGCGTGCTCATGCTTGCAGCTTACAAGTGAGTGCTTCGGGTTGGCTCAATTTGCAAAGCGGCTTTCTGAAGCTATGGCTCACTTGATGTTTCCAGGAGAATCAGATTCTCTGGAGAGACACTCACCGCTGCAGGATGGTAACAGTAGCTGGCGAAGCTCTGAAACTGCTTCCGAGCCGCCCCCAACTCAGTCGACAGTATCGTCTTTCACAGTGGAGGACCGATCGGATAAGCACATGGGGGATTGTCAAAATTATGGTCCCCTTTTTGGGTCCCCTACATGAGGCCCCGTATTAGGCCCCGTAAGGACCATGATTTTGACAATCCCCCACATGAGAGCCTGTGTTTCCTCGCTCCTTTCTGAAACCCTGGGCTTCAGGAGGAAGCTCTACAACGACTTGAAGATGCGTCGAGGGCTTTGGCGACCAGCTGGGCCGTGACTGTAGACACACTGTCCGGTTCCCTCCTGAAGGATGCGGCTGTGACATGGAATGCTTGATCGAGCGCATGCTCTTGAGTTTTGCTGTTTGCTACATCATGATGCTCTCCTCTTGCGCAGGACTCGTGGCTGGCTCGTGCCCGCACTGCGTTCTCCATGTGCTCTGGTTCAGGGACAGCGGAATGTGCTCGTGCTGTTCTCCAGAAGACAATCAATGAGTCTGGGCTTGTGGACTGGGATATGGATATCCGCACGGTTTGCCAATGGGCCTGGGGCTTAATTGAGGGGGTCAACTGACTAGAACTCATTACTTTTAATGTGCCCGACTCCCTTGACCAGGAGTATGAGCCCAAATGCTGGCCGGTGCTACGCGATATGCATGATTGGGGCATGGGCGTTCTCGGCCGGAGTGAGCGAAGCCCCTGCCTCTTTGGCGACATTATGGACCTGAATCCCAGCAGCGTGCTCCATGGTGCCAGTTCTTATGCTACAAAGAAGCGCAGAGTGCTTGAATCTAGGATGCCCATCTGGTGTGTTTGTTTGGCACACCACGCCCCCGATGATCCATATCCTCTGTGCGCAATCCCGGAGAAGCTGGACTCTGGCTGCAGTGGCCTGCCATGTCAGGACATGTCGCGGGCAGGTCTTCGCATGATGTCTGCGGGTAGGACGGCGCCGGTCTACATGACGCATGCCAAATTCGTACTGCAGAAGAAGATTCCTTTGTTGACAGTGGAGTGTACTCCAGATGCTTGTCATCCAATTTTGTTTTGCTACACGTTGGCTTGCAACTGTCCACGGCACATCACATGCCTACATCTCAGGATTTGGACATGGACATGATGTATGATCTTCACAGCGATCGGTACCAGTGGTACAGGCTGGTGACTGGTCCAGCAGATGTTGGTCACAGGGCTTTGGCAAGACAGCGCGTCTACTGCATTGGCGCTCACACAGAACTCACTACACGGCTCCACGACCCTACGGAAGTCTTGAACGCCGTCTCTGCGCGTATGAAACATACGGTACAGACCCGGGTGTCCGACTACCTGTGTGCCTCAGACTACGAGGTATTGCTGGAGGCTCAGCAGGTGGCTATCCGGCGCAAAGTCCCTTTCAAGCCTCGATGTTTGGACTTGCGCTATCTGCTCACTTCCTGAGAGAAGGATGCGCTGCAGACCTACATGAAGATGTACAGGTCTCGCTTTCATGAGCGACCTGAAGATGATGTGGACCTTTGCCTCTTCTTAGGAGACAGTCCACCCGCCCGCGTGTCATGGTCGGCAATCTCAGCATCCATTCCTACGTACAGATGCAATTCTAAGACCGCTCTGTACTGGATCCCAGCACGACAAGGGAACGGCTACTGTCGATGGGGTGGCCAGTGCACAGTGCAGTGTGTCAGGGCATGTCCGTTTGTCAAATTCCAGCAATGGATGCTCACAGAGCAGCAGACCTGGCCGGTAACGGCATGCACTTTAGCAACGTAGGTGTTGCACAACTGATATCCTTGTCATGTTTCGGTCCGGCAGAGAAGGACCCTGTGCTTGCCTGATGTTTGGCAGAAGATTCAGAAACCTCTTTGCTCCAGAACCAAAGAGCTTGATGTGCAGGCTGTTGCGTGACAAACATGATTTTTCCTTGATTGAAGGCTCAAAGACTGCTGTTAGGTACCTTCCCATCGCAGCTCCTGAAAGGTTCGAAGTTGTGATCTGATCTAGTGCGTCCGCCAGCTGCCAGCTTTGCAAGCATGGAATTGCCATTGGTTTTTGAGGACCAGAGGATTGAGAATTTTGAGGACTCAGAGTCAGAGGGTAGCCAGTCAGAGTCTGCGTCAGCCTCTGAAGCTCCTCGTGGACGAGCGTCCCAGAAGAAGCGCAAGGCTGCCGATTCTTCCAGAGGCGCGAAGTCAGAGAAGAAGAAGAAGCCAAAGGTAAAGAAAGCAGCGTCCTCACGCCAGACACGCTCCGCAACTCTTTCGTACAAGGATTGGAATGCTGTCCCAGCCCCTGTCTCAGCGCTGCAATGCATAAGGGATGAGCCTGTTCCCATAGCCACGAGTCAGTTTCCATGTCTGCCAAGTTGAACCACATCAAGTTCTTCTTGAACTTTGCAGAGCCCAGCAAAGCCACGCTTGCCTTCCTGGACAACTTGGACAACAAGGTGATTCGCAGAGGCTTCCTGGCTTTCTTTGGAAAGCCTGGTCACCAAAAGCTGCCTGGGCTGCAGCCTGAGCGTATGTCTGCATACTTTGACTTGAGCGGCCCTGAAGTTACTATAACCCCCTAAGAAGCTGAAGATAGCCCCATTGTAGTCCATGATAATCAGGTTACCTAACCCATTAGTAGCTCCAGGGTCCCTCAAGGTAGAGCTCTTGGTTTCATCCAAGATTGCAGGTGCAGACATGTTCATGACTATTTGCAGGAGCAAGATTAATCGAGACAAGCTGGCGAAGGACCTCAAGGACGAATACGAGCGTCGTGGACGACCGGGCCAGGATGGGTTCTTAAAGCTTGTGCGGCAGACTGAGATCGACCTTTCCAAGAACTTGCAGTTTGAAGTGGTCAAGAGAGATGACAAGCTCTGCCTTCGCTGTGACAGAAAGGGCGTTGTGCTGCCGACGAATGTGAAGTGGCATGACAAGGTTTACATTCACCCTAAGACCAAGGTGCTTTGCGTGACTGATGGGGCAGATACGTCCAAGCCGTGCGTCACTTTCTTCCAGAATGAGCAAGACTACAGCGACGAGTTCTACAAGGGCGACACAATGGCCAGGATTGACGCGAAGGCACTTCTGACAGGCCAACTTGAGGCTGGGTGCAAGGTTTTCAATTGGTCAGACATGCCTGCGCCTCCAACGACTGGAGCTGCGTCAATGGCAGGGCTTGCAAACAGCCCGGGCCCTGAGAATCATTGACACTGCTAGGGTAGTAGAAGTTGTCTTGGTTTCCTTGCCCATTGTCGACAGCTCAGGTCACGTGCCACTGCCACACAACGTTGAGCGCCCAGTTTGCGCGTGCGGCAAAGATCGTGCAATCTGCAAGGATTGTAAGCAGGGCTGGCTGACCATCATCAATGAGGGGAGGGCTCCTCCCACACGCTGCTTGTTTGACAACTGGTTGCTGTTGGTGAGTCCACGCGCCAGTCTTTACTAGCCTGATGTGTGTGCTGCTTGGCATGCGCAGCAAGGAGTTCTGCCTCTTGCTGACGATGCTGTTGTCCGACCGGAGCTGGCTGCGCTGCAGCCCCCCTCAGATTCAGAGGATGAGAATTCGAAGTCGCCATGTCCTGATCAGACGGCCCTCGTGATGGAGATTGATCATTACAAGCTGTTCCAAGACAAGAGCTGCTTCATTGTGATGATGGACACTGCTGGGGGCTTGACAGCTGTCTTGCCTGACGCAGCGGACGATTGGGTCCTTCAGAAGGTTGAGGACGGGCTTGTTTGCATGTCCTGTGTATGGCAATGACTTGTATTGTATCGGTGTTGCTGCGCAGGAAGGCACCGGCAAGAACGGCGGGCAGGTGTTTGCCGCTTCGAAGACAGGCAAATGCAAGGCTGTTTGGATGAAGAAGCTTTTCCAGCCGATTGTGGAAGCCGAAGAGAAAACCCGCAAGGAGAAGGAGGCCGCAGAGGCTGCGGCCAAGGAGAAGGAGGCCGCTGAGGTTGCAGACAAGGAGAAGGCGGCCGCTGAGGTTGCAGCCAAGGAGAAGGCGGCCGCTGAGGCTGCAGCCAAGGAGAAGGAGGCCAAGGAGAAGGCTGCAGCTCAGGTGGCAGTGGCAGCTGCTGCCAAAGCGGCAGCAGAGGCTAATTAAGGCTCAGAAGGAAGCGCAAGCAGTTCAGGAGGCCAAGAAGAAGGCCGAGGAGGATGCTGCTCGTTGTGCAGCCGAGGAGGCCAAGGCAGCTGCAGCTCAGACACAGCAGGAGGTAAAGCCAGCTGCGGAGGCTGCTTTGAAGGCAGGCCAGGATGGCAAGGACGGCGCGGGCGAGAAGGTGGACGCCAAGGACGGCGTGCCTGAGCTGACAGAGGCGGAGAAGGAAAAGAAAGCGGAGGCGGCTGCTGCGATCAAGCAGGCAGCAGAGGTTGCAAGGCTGAAGGCAGCGCAAGCCGCAGCTGCAAAGGCGTCGCAGCCTCCTCGTGCAGCCAAGGCAGCTGCTGTTCCCAAGTGATTTGAAGCAAGGCATCGCGGCCAGATCCAGATGTGGGCCTGACCCCACTGCCAGTACGAATGGATGTTTTTCTACTTAGCAGGAGCGTTAGGCTTCAGATGGCTCGGAACACTTTCAGTCGCCGTGTTTGACTTGGCTAGGTGAAGTTTGTGTTGCGGTAGCTGGAGTGTTGAGGCTAGATTCAGTTAGGGCCAGCTTAGACTAGTGATCATTGACAGATTACGTAAGGCGAGGTTGAGCAGCTCAGCTTAGCTTAGGTCAGGATGGGTTCGCCTAGGCTAGGATTCCAGGACAAATCAGTCTAGATTTTGTTAGGATGAGTTTAGTCTGGGTGGGTTGCGATGGGTTAGGTTGGGGAGGGTGAGGTTGGAGTAGGTTAGGGTTAGGGTCAGGGTCAGGTTAGGGTTAGGTCAGGGTCAGGTTAGGGTTAGGTTAGGGTTAGTTTAAATTGAGGTAGTTTTGGCTGGGTGAGAGGGTTGGGCAAGGTCAGTTAGGTTGTGGTAGGTTAGGGTTAGGTTTGGGTTAGGTTTGGGTTTAGGGTTTAGGTTGGGGTATGTTGGGTTGGGGAAGATTAGTTGGGTTGGGTTAGGGCTAAATTTTGTGAAAATGAAGAAAAGTAGGAGAGTCTCGAGGGTGCTTCGCGGGCGGCTTTGGAAGGGGTTCGCGGGGGTGATTTGGAAGCGGTTTTTGGGCGCCCTCGCAGGGGAAAACGCATGCGCCCCCCCAAACGATTAAGCCTTATTAGGCCTTATTAAGCTCTACTAGGCCTTGTTAAGCCCTAATAGACCCTTATAAGGCCTTGTAAGTAGTTATAGGCATTTGTAAGGCAAAGACGTTCTGGCTGGAATCTTCGTCGCGCCTCGAGGCAACCGTGTCCAAACTGGTGAGCAGTGCCGCCTAATGATCTAGACCCACACCCTAACTTGCACTTAACTTAACCTTCAGCTGCGGCGCTGTTTCCAGCCGGCTTCCTTCTTGGAGTCTCACACAGAGGTCGTTGCAGAGGGGAACGTTAGGTAGGGCAAGGTAAATCATTCACTTACATTTGTCACTGTGGCAGACATCATTTTCTGCTCGGCCTTTTGGTGGGCGCTGTCTGTGACAAGGCTTTGACGTAGCAGAGCGTGTGACAAGCACAGACAAAACAGGTGTCCGTTGCCGTGACTGCACACTTCTAGGTTCTGGATAGCCGCAGGACAAATTTACTTTCACTTACCAAGGCCTTGCCACGTTTCGCCGTGTTCAGTGAAGAGCTGGCCACGCAGCGTCTCAGACAATATGTGCGTGTGTGCAATTGTCAAGCAGCATGCGTGAGTGTTTTCTTTTACGCGTGTGTCTTCGCGACTTGTCCTGTCTCAGGAATGCAAGCAGCCATGGGCTATCTCCTGTGTCGGAGATTACCAAGTCCAAGAAGACCACCTTTGGCATTATAGCACTGGGTCTGTGAAGTCATGAGCTGTGTGTGAGTCTTGTGGGTGTCGTTTTGACACATGTCTGTGCTTGTTGCTACTGTGTACCTGTGCAGAGAAAGCGCCGCAACATGGGTGGCCAAGGCAAACCTGAAGGGCTTGCAATATGCTCTGACGGCTACTTTCAGCAAGGGTTTGGAACATTTCATGCCAGAGCAGAAGCTGTGTCCCGGGAAGCCTTTCGCGCTTCTTCCACCGAGTGTGGAGGAACGTCCATTGCTCACCGCAGTGCCCTGTCTCGTTCAGGATAGAGGAATCGCTACGCTGTGCCATCTCTCTCTCTCACAGTCTCTGTGCTGCTTCTTCTTCTTCCTCTCTCTCTCTCTCTATCTCTCTCTCTCTCTCTCTCTCTCTCTGTCTGCCTCCCTCCTGATCTTCATTGAAAGCATTCCTGCTGTGAAATCAAATATTCAATCTGAGGTTGCAGATGAAGACATGCTGCCGTACAAAAGCATGTATGCTTTGATGACGGCAGGCGCGCGGATTTGGGTAGAACCCGAATCCTTACATTGTCTGTGGAATACTGCAAAGGCTGCTTTCAAGCGAAGTGGCCTCCAAGGTGCGGTACTGCTTGGAAGTCTTATGACGCAAGTCAACCACGGCCCCTATGCATCAGGGGCCAATATGTTGACAAAACAGGAAGCAATGGAGCACAGAATCGGTCACCTGACTGATGACGAGTGGGAAATTCTGCGCGAGGACATCGCGATGGATCGCCTCGACTTCGTGGATGATCTCCCGGGCGTTGATGCAGATGAGGAGCTGGCTTCAGATGTTCCCATGTCAAAGGAGGAGCTGTTGGAGGCCCCGTCCGTGAGCACTCGCGGCCTCTTCGACGCTTGACAAGCTAAGCCCTGTTGCTCTCTGTCTTTCTCAGGTTCTTCGTAGATCCAAAAGTACGTTTTCATCCCACGAAGACCTCTCTCTCTCCGAGTGTCCCATTTTGGAGTCTGAGTTTTGTCAATGCTTCTAGGGGAGGTCTGTTAGGGTTGGTTTGATGCAGGGGCGTCCCCGGCCCCCTTCGTTCAGGGGGATGAGGTTCGGGGTCTTTGAGGGTTTCTCAGGAAGGGTCATTTTGGATGGGAGGGATATAGGTTGGCAGGCGAGGAGAGGGCAGTCTTCAGGGCGCAGTTCTCTTTCTTTGGTTTCTGGCTTCTCCTCTCTATCTATATATCTCTCTCTCTCTCTCTCTTTGTCTGCCCTTCTCTGACAAAATGCATCATGCCCATTTTCCAGGCCCCTATGCCTTGAGACAATACTTGGTAAATTGAAAGAGGCTTTTGCCACAACAGAACTGTAACTTTGTTTGTTTGCCACCCATTCAGCTGTAGGTATCATGAATACTGGTCCCAGTTCTGAAATCACGCTGCTGTTAAAACAATAACGATCCTGTTCGTGGTTGTCAGACACTGGGTGCGCTGGCGGACAGCTTACGTGTTCCTTGAAGGGTTTTTTCTCATTTGACCGAAGTTGTGCTACCAGTACATTGCACGTTGGGGCCTCTCCACCTGCGTGAGGGCTGTCAGTCAGCAATGGCATTCATTCGTTGGGTAGGGATGGGATGTACATCTATTTTTTGAAAGTCGACTACTCCAATGAAATGCTTTGTCATTTGTGAAGTTCGGTAGGCTTCAGAAGCGCACGTTTTCACTGGGGCTTGCTTTTTTTGTTCATCATGGACTACCTGAGGCCAAGTACAAATCATGGTTCCAGTCTGTGATTGCGCTCTGGCTTCTCAACAAGAACTGGAGCATTGATTCCGACATCTACCAATGGATCTTGACTTCTGGACAAGACGTGGAGGCCGTGGACGCTGCCAAGAAGCATGCATGACTTGGGCGAAAATCTTCTTACGTGTAGGAACAGTTCGCCCTGCCTAGGCTTCGGACGCGGTTGAGCAAGATGGAGGACACCCCGAAGACGCGGATGATGATGAAGAGGCGGAGACTTCCGCGCCCGTCCGGCCGCAGACGCGGGAAGAGCTCTTGAAGCTCAGAGGTTCTTTCCGCAACAACATGCACTTGGCTGCTTACTTCTACAACGACAGACATCTTCAGATACAGTTCCGCATGATCTACTTGAGCTGCAAGCCCACCATTGAGCTCTACAAGCACATCATCAGCACTTTGAAGAAGGGGCAGGCCTGGTGAAAGCTACCCTTAACTTAAAATTTCCGTGTACGCTTCTTTGTCCTGGTCAGTGCCAGGACGCCTCGCTCAAGTGGTCAGCCGAGCGAGCCTTGGGCGAGCGTTGGTTCCGGGCAGCTCTGGAGACTTTGTCTGCCGTGCAACGTGTTAGGACAGCAGTCCTGCTGAAGCTGCAGCGCTCTGCAGAGGAACCTGAGCGACGGGACGACCCTGTCTTTGAGCAGCAGTTTCAGAATGTGCAGCAGTTTGCTACCTGCTGTGTGGAAATGGCAAGCGGCCTGTGCTGGTCACAAGTGATTTTCACTGTGGGGCCATCAATGCTTGCAGGCATCTTCCATCCAGATCATGCCCTCCGCCAGCAAGTTGTGCGGAATTTCAGAGTGAAGTGGGAGGCGATCCTGCACGCTGAAGATGCAGTCAGGGGACGGTGCGCAGATGTCGACCGGAAGCACAGTCCTGACATTGCAAGGCTGCTGAAGGACATTGCATTCCCGGAGACACAAGTGGGCCGAGAGATGTACGAGGTTGTTCGGCGAGGTGGCTTCCAGTCACTCGACCCGCAGACACGCCTTCTGGCGCACAAGATGTTTGCCAAGGTGCCCACAACCAAATTCCATTTGGAGGACATGTTCTCGCACCTCAGCACCGTGTCCAAACGAGGCGTGAAGAACTTGAAGATGAACAGGTGCTTCAACAGTTTTCAAAATTCTGAAGTCCAGACTTTTCGCTATTTAGCTTGATCAGATAAAGAGAGAACTGGAAGTAACGGCCCTTCAGCCTTCAACCCTAAACCCCTGTACAGTGCAACAGTCTGACTCCCCGCAAGCGCATTTCTGAATCCTTGGCCAGGTGGCAGAAGTTCTTCTACATGTCTACGACTCCCACCCTGCGCGAGATGAAGTGGCCTCAAGTGAAGCCAACGTTCGAAGATTTCGTTGCAGCTGGGCAAACGCAGAATCAAAAAGGACAGTCCACAGCAGGCATGCATTTTCATGCTAAGACGGCTCAGCTTCCAGAAAGCCTCAAAATCAACAAGGGCACTCTTCACAAGACCTTCAAACCAGCCGGTCCTGCCAGCAATCAGAGATCTGCAGCGGCTGCTGCTTTCCTGACGTGCATTCGGAAAGATTATGAACGCTGCGGTATGGCCTGGGCTGGTCTCTAGGCAGTGCAAGCGTCCTAGTTCAGGTCCGGTTTCCCATATTACGACCTTGCCATGCTTGTAGTGCTGCAGTAGCAACTACTTTGTACGCCACGCGTGAGATTCACGCTTGCGTGTCTAGGGTCTAAAGTCTATAGGGTCGAGGGTCTAGGGTTTAGGGTTGAGGGTTTAGGTTTAGGGTCTAGGTGTTAGGGTTTAGGTTTTTTTAGGGTTCTGGTTTTAGGTTTTTAAGTTTAATTTTTAGGGCTTAGGGTTTAGGTTTTAGGGTCTAGGGTGTAGGCTTTCGGAAATAGGGTTGAGGGTTTAGGTTTTAA